AGTGCCACGAGCAGCACCGACAGCGAGGATGTTCTTCTCTGCTGCGACCAGCTGCTGCTCGAAGTCGTCCAGAGTGATAGTTGGAGGATCCTTGGCAAGGAAGTAATCCCTGACAGAGCGAAGAGTGTCAGGGAGGCGGGTGACGAGGATGTAGAGGGTGAAGTACAGCGGGGGGGTGTTCGTGGCGAGGAACTCGGCGGTAAGAGCGGCTCGAAAGCGGGCGTCACTAGCGCGGAGGTGAGTGATAAGGTCGGCAGCAGTGTGAAACGAGGCTAAGTCTGGGAACAGGTAAGGCAGGATGAGACTACCAACGGTGGCTGTGGTCGGGGCGGAATAGCGGGCAACGACAGCATCATACAGCGTCTTAGCAGTCTTAAGCTGGTTGAAATGCGCGCGCTCAGAGATCGGTAGGTGATTGCGAATAACAAGGCGCGCGACAGCATCGCGGAGCTCCCACTGTGCTCGTTCAGGGGCAGGAGCAGTCTCAGCAGGAGTAGGGACAGTGCCGGTCACATAGGCTAGCAGGGACACTCCGTCTGCGACGTCAGTCATAAGGTAAAGGCGCAGGTCACTAAGCCAGGTGTCAAACTCGATGGGGCGGCCGTCAGGCTCAAAGGCGAGAACAGTAAGGGTCGCCATGGTTGTAGCGCAGGCAAAAGTAGCAGGCTCAGGCAGCAGGCTCAGGCAGCAGGCTCAGGCAGCAGGCTCAGGTAGCAGGCTCAGGCAGCAGGCTCAGGCAGCAGGCTCAGGCAGCAGGCTCAGGCAGCAGGCTCAGGCAGCAGGCTCAGGCAGCAGGCTCAGGCAGCAGGCTCAGGCAGCAGGCTCAGGTAGCAGGCAAAGACTGCAGGTTCAGGCAGCAGGCTCAGGCAGCAGGCAACTGTAGCAGGTAAGGAAGCACGCAGTTTTGTGACAGGCCGCGCGTAAGGCAGGTAAGCGCACGACTCACGGGCGGCTAAGCGCTCAGGTCGAGGCAGTGGCGCACAGGCAGGGCAGGGCACGCGCTGCTGCGGGCTGCGCGCGGCAGCGGGCTGCGCGCGGCTGCGGGCTGTGCGTGGCAGCTGGCTGTGCGCGGCGACGGGCTGCGTGCGGCTGCGTGCGGCTGCGGGCTGCGCGCGGCGACGGGCTGCGTGCGGCTGCGGGCTGCACGCGGCGACGGGCTGCGCGTGGCTGCGGGCTGCGCGTGGCTACTGGCTGCACGCGGCGGCGGGTCGCGCGTGGCGGCGGGCTGCGCGCGGTGACGAGCTGCGCGCGACAGCAGCGAGCACGCGGGCGGCTAAGGCAGCGGGGCGCGCTAAAAAAAAAATGCACGCGCGCATGCAGCCGAGGCGCGCGCGGGCAGCAGGCAAGGTAGGCACGTAGGTATAGCTGTAGGGAAAGTAACTCATGAGTAGGTGGGCCCCAATCTTAGGTCCTTAGGACCATTGCTCTAGATGCCATGTTGAGATAGCTAGGCAAGGTGAGTTGACTATCGAGAGAAATTTTACAAGTAGGAAAAACCCTAAGGGGTTATCCCCTATAACATCTACCCCACTACAGCCTACCAATATGTATCACATATATATATCATTTGACAGCACGTGCTGCTATTACTGATTTCCTGCATGTGAGGCAGTGTGGCACGTGCTCCTGGCAGGGAGTTCCTGGCTGTTCTGTGCAGCAGCAGCAGCTGTTGTGCTTGATGTTTGTGCAATGATTTTTTAGGCGATTTTTGAGGCGCCTAGATAAAAGCAGCAGCTGTTGTGCTGATGTTTGTGCAATGGTGGTGGAAAGAACGAGTTCGCCTTGCTCTATCGAGGTAAGGACTAACGAAGCCCGAAATTTAGTCAGCCCGAGCTGGGACTAAAATGTACATGGGCGAGCACCTCAGTTGTAGGAGCCAGTAAGAATCGAGCATGCGATCTACCGGATTACATTACGCTTCACCCACTGCGACACTTCACACTGTGCCACCCCTACTTCTACTTTTACTAAAACGATTTCAAGTGCGCCCCAGCATACCACACCCCGAATGTTGAGACATTTCCAGCATTTCTATCCCCGCTAACATAACACTCGAAAAATACAGTCTTGTACGAAATGTAGCACTGACCTGCCAGGATATGGTCAAATGTAGCACTGACATTTCAGAATACCTCACACCGTGCAGCCCTGACAATTCAGGGCAAATTCGGATTTCTCAAAAAACTGCCCTGAGGCCTCAGTGTACCCCCAAACGAATCTGAGGGCCTGGCCCGAGGCGTGGTCAGCGCGCAAATCAGAACGCTGGCTTGGATGGGCCACGTGGTCTCCTCGCCACTGAACTCGCACTTTCCCGAGTAGGTGTTACGACGTGTTGCGACCCACCCGGGTCGGGTCGACCACCCCCCGATCCCGAATTTCTAGGAAGCCCGCACTGCCGACCTACCCGACCAGGTCGACCCGACCCAACCCAACCCGGGTTGGGTCGACACCGGTCAACCCGGGTCGACCAGGTCGGGTCGACCAGGCCGACCGAACCCAACCTAGCCGAGCTGGAGCAGGTTACCGGAGCCTGCGAAATTTGTATTTCTCGCGCGGATGTCGCTTGTATCTCGTTTAACAAAAAGATACCCGGTAATATCGCCAAACATTGCCTCGCCCACCTTCCACCTGCGGAGCACTTGCTTGCTCTTTACTTCGAATTTGCAGAGAAGGCAACGGGAAATTCTTTGATTTCTCGAGTCGCCTTGCTGCTGGTCGGGTCGGGTCGACCCTGGTCGACCGGGTCGACCCGACCCGACCCAACAGTGGTGGGTCGCATCACGTCGTAACACATACTTTTGCATGCTCGACGTGGCTAGGTTGCCTGCTGGGTCAACACCATGGCCCTGATCTGTGGCGCTTACTCAGAGTTAGCTAACTCTGAGTTACCGAGCCGTGTAGGGTTGGGTGAGTACACCGACAATGAATCATTACGCTCGTGTGAATGTTTGAGTTGTAACTCACCCTGGTGATCTGTGGCCTCGTAACTCTGAGTAAAGGAAGTTCCAGGGGCGTCCACGAAGGTGTTCTGGTAAATTTTTATTTACTCAACCCGAAGTGCCGCCCATTCGGAAAAAAAAAAATGTGCGAAAGGGTGACCATGAGGCAAAATAATTCAACGTCCCGCAGCACAGCGTGGGAACTAGTTGGAAAGAACCAAATTTGGGCAATGTTAAGGTCACCCCTCTCGAGCCGTACCCAGAGTGGTGTAGCCAACTTTCACCCAAAAGCCTGAGTAGGAAAAGCACTAACTCTGAGTTAGTTTGCCCGTGAACGAACCAACGATGCATGCTTCCTACGGAGCGTACTCTGAGTTGTCACTTTGCGTATTTGTGACCCTTATTTGCTAACTCTGAGTTAGCTGGCATGGTGTGACTGTAACGGAGACACGTGTGAGGGTTGAGTTGATGAAGCCACCACGAAGCTAATGAACTCTGAGTTAAGGGGCCACAGATCAGGGCCCATGCAACCCAAAGCAGGTCCCGTCCCGTTGGGCAAGTAGACAGACATTTCCGTCTCGCTCCATAGCACCTCACTGGAACTCACGGCAAACCCGGATTCTGCACTAAGCCGATTAATGAAGCATGCTGAAAGCTTTTGCTGGGGGACGCTGATGGGAGCAAGCGATTCGATTCTCAGCTTTCACTGAAACCAAAAATTTGAGATAAGCAGCCCACAGATCCACACACGGAGTTTAGAGCAGACGGCTCAGACCAGAATGTTAGGGTACATTCCGCTGTGGACATGCGTCCCAATCGATGTGTCCCAATCGGGTGTACCGCTCCGAACCGCACTAAACCAGAGAAGCGAAAATTTTGAAACTAGGGTGTAATTCGGTGTAATAAGATGCAGTGCGGTAGAATCGATTGGGACACATCGATTGGGACGCATGTCCACAGCGGAATGTACCCTTAGACCAGCAATTAGTCTTGGTTGGTCCTTCGCGGGATGGCGTCTCCAGCGTTGTCTTCTCGTATTAAGAAATCGTCGTGCGTGTCGCTCGATCACTTGCCGGACGACCTCCTATGTGCTGTCCTTCGACTGCTTGACAAGTATTCGAGTAGCACTTTAACCACGCGTTGGTCTCGAAGCGATGGTATCGCGTTGCTTGCCTCGCGCGGACGTCAATATCCGCCAGCCGCTCTGTTTTAAGCGTCGATTTTATCCGATCTCTTCTGAAGTTTAAGAATCTGACGTCCGTAACTATTAGAGGATCCGATTTCAGTGAAGCCGATTATGTTATCCTCGCCGACCTTGGTTCCGCCTGTCCCAAGCTGACGCAACTTGAACTCTATGGTGGAAGCTACGATCGTTCCCGTGTAACGACGAGTACGGGACTGGATGCACTGTTCACCGGTTGCACGGCGTTGCAAACCCTTGTCGTCGAGACCTCTGATAAGATCGAACAGATGCCGTCATCGTTCTTCGGCTTGTCTTCCTTAACGGACGTTAATCTCAATTTCCGCCTGAGGGAGTTGTCAAACTATATGTGCTGCATATTGTCTAGGCTGTAGTGGGGTAGCCCATATGGGGTACAACATAGTTAGGGTTTACTACTTGTACTCCTGCATCCTGTTAGTTCAATCATTCCTGCTGCTAGATTCTAACAGGAGTTCCCGGACGCGTTCGGCGGGCTGAAATCTCTTACGAAATTAAAGCTGGAGAAGTTGCTTATCGAGGAACTACCCGAGTCTTTTGGCCAGCTCGCCGCTTTGACCGACCTAGATATCTCCGAGTGCATACTGCTGTACGGTCTGCCGGATTCCTTCGGCAATCTCTGCTCCTTGAAGAAGCTCACCATTTACTGCTCAAGGTCGTTGGAGGTTCTCCCTGATACGATGGGCCAGCTTCAGAATCTTCAAGAAGTGGTTCTTAACTGCAACGAATCTCTCTTGCAGCTCCCACCTTCTTTTTACGACCTTCTGGCTCTCAAGGTTCTCACTCTGTGGATGTTGGAGGATCTCAAGGAGCTTGATAGCGAAGTGTCCAATCTCGTGTCAATGGAAAAGCTCAGTATCGACATGTGCTGCCGGTTCACTTCGCTTCCTGCATCCCTCTGCACACTCCCCAAGCTCCGTTCCCTGGGGATCTCCGGCTGCAAGCTTCTCACTCACCTACCGCAAAGCATCGGCAATCTAACCTCATTGGAGAATCTAGCGTTATGCAAGCTCAGAAACTTGAAGCATTTGCCAGGAACGATTTCCGAGCTATCCAATCTCCGGTCCTTCACCCTGCAGCATTGCAACAGCATCTCCAACATCCCTGCATCTCTATTACAGAGGTCTAGGAGACTTCAAGAGCTCAGGTTTCAGTGGCCATCTTGCTGTGCGGGAAGCTGGCAGGCTGGCCAAGCATCCTCTGGTGAAGCTGCTTTCATCTCTTCGATCTGCAAGTTATCCCACCTTAAATTTGTCTCTCTCTTTGGCTTTCCCCGCGTCAGTACGCTTCCCCAGGAATTCGGGAATCTCTTGCAGCTGGATCATATGATACTGTCCTCCTGGCCCAACTTGTCAGGGTTTCCGGATTCTATGTCCAAGTTGTCGAAGCTATCGAGCATTGTAGTGGCTGCATGCCCGGCTTTTAATAAGTCTGCTGCTGCCGTTCCTGGGCTTCCGAATCTGAGAATTAATCTGACAAGCGATGACTGGGATTGGGACAAGGATGAGGAGTATGAGGATGAAGATGAAGAGGATGAAGAGGACGAGGACGAAGAGGAAGATGACGACGATGATGAGGACGAGGATGAAGGTAGTTGGTTGATGCCGTGGAGGTGGTAGCTTAGGGCACCTCGCATATCGTACCAGTATATGCCTTTTCAGTGATGCCAGGACTTGATTCAGAGTGATGCAGTAGCCATTATGCAGTAATGCTGCAGAATATTACTGTAATTTTGCATGCCTAATGCTTTTGTGCTCTTTAGCAGTAGCTACGAAAGCAAGAGGGGAGGGGAGGTGTTGGGGTTGAGGTTTGAGGATTGATAAATCAGCGTGGAAAAGAAACAAATGGAATGGGAGGCTCTGGAACTGACATTAACCTAAACAAACAAAAGAACTAATCCGCTGTTTGTATGGTCAGATTAGGGCAATTGAATGTTTCAGAGCTGCCCAGTCGTATCCTGAAGCAGCAACAGCGTCACCACTTGCCCTAGCAGCTCCCACCTCGACTGTCTCGGCCTCCACTTGTGCACCTGTCGCCGTTGCTGCTTCTTCCAACAGAACAGTGCTTGCAGCCTTTTTCTGTTGTGTTATCGCACCCATCTCACCACCAGCACCAGCACCATTACCGGTACCACCATCAGCACCACCAGCACCAGCACCACTACCAAAAGCAGCAGATCCCACATCTCCTCCATTTTCCTCTATTTCTGCATCGTCCCCTTTCCCTCGAACCCCTCTAACCCCATCAATCTGCCTGTCCCTCGCCCTGTCTTCCCCAACCGCCCCACCCTTCCCTTCTCCCCATCCCCGTTCACCTCCATCCTCCTCTTCCCACGCTCTCTCGTTGTGAATCGGGCCGCCCGGACCCCCATCTGCACCAGACACCCAGCCCGGGCCTGCGCCGAGCCTCCTCGTGGCCTCGAACTGTGGCTCCAGGTTCGGGAGAACGCCGGAGCTGGCGGCTAGGGACGGCATGGTGCCCACAGCACAGGGCACCCAGTTAGCCGCAACCCTCCACCTCTTTCTGGGAAGGTTCCCCTCAACATGATTCCTCCTTCTCTTGCCAATCCCTCTCGTTCCTCCTCCCCGTTTCCTCTTTCCCCCCTCCCCTTTCCCTATCTCCTGTTTTCCATTCTCCCTTCTCCCGGGGTCCTTAATCCCCGTCCCCACAACCACAACTCCTCCCTGCCCCGTGCTGCTACTGCTCGCCCTTCCCTTCCCCCCTCTACTCGCCCGAACCACTTGCTCAATTGTGCTAAGCTCCCTCTCCATCTCCCTCAGAAGCTTCTCAGTCCCTTCCTCGAAATCTGTTCCTTCCACCTCCTCCACTTCTGCCCCCTCTTCCTCACTATCCCCTTCCCTTCCCCCTTCCCCCCTTCCTTCACCTCCGTCCCTTCCTCCTTCTCCATCTGTTCCCCTCTTTCCTCCCTCTCCCTCACCTGCCCCTGCCCCTGCTCCCTCTCCCTTCCCTCCTCGCCTTCTCTTCCCCCGTCCCCCTTGCTGCCTCTCCGCCACTTCCCCTCCCCGTTCTGCACTCTGAATCCCTGCTTTCCCAACCGTCTCAGCACCCCGTTTTCCATCAAGCCCCAAGCCTTGCTCACCCATACTCACATCACCCATCAACCCGTCCCCCACACCCCACATTTCCATTTCATTGGCAGTCCCGAAACCCCCCTCTAGTGCACCGCTCGCCATAAGCACATCCCCACTCGTTAACAAAATATCTCGTAACCGTTGGGAATGACCCAGCCAGGCAGAAGGCAAGGCATCCGCTGTTGTTACCATACCGCCACGTGTCACCATACCACTGGCCGATACCGCAGTGGGTGCAGGTGCAAGCATAGGGTTACCAGCAGAAGCATCACCAAGGCTCGCTGCCACTCTCCCCTCCCACCACTCCACCAGCCCATGCCTCACTAGCTTCCGAATGCGCCAACTCATTGCTGCCCCCTTCCCTTTTCTCCTTTTGCTCTCCCTGCCTTCACCAGATCTACCTGCCTGGGATCCACCTCTCGAGCCTCCACCCTCCCCCTCCCCATGCCTCTTCCCCTCCCTCTTCCGCTTCCCCTCCTTCTCCCCCTCTTCCCCCTCCTCCCCTTCCTTTTGGATCATCTGGTCAGCGAGTGCAAGTGCCACGTCAGCGAGTACATGTGGCAGGCGGGGGCAGGACGGGAGGACGTGCAGGCAGCGCGTGGCACAGCGGGCGAGGAGAGGCAGAGGGAACCACTTGCCATGCGATGGGGAGTCGTGAGCTCGTGAAGCTCGAGAAGAGCCGTGTGATGGGGCCCTGTGTTGTGATGAGGTGCCGTGTGTTGATGTGTCTGTCCCGGCCAGATCGAAATCCATATCGTCCTCTTCCTCCTCCCACTCTTCCTCTTCTTCTAGCTCATCCTCCTCCTCTTCCTCCTCATCTTCTTCCTCCTCCTCCACCTCCTCCGCCTCGTCCTCCTCTTCCCCTTTCTCCTCCTCTTTTTCCTCTTCTTCATTCTCGAAATCAGCATTAACCGCTGTCTTTCCACCTGATTCTTCCTCCCCTTGACCAATCAACTCCATCCTATACTCATGCCCTTCTCCCTCCCCTTCCCCTTCCCCTTCCCCTTCTTCTCCCCCTTCCTCCTCCTCTTCCTCTTGCTCCTCCTCTTCCTCCTCCCCCTCCTCCTTCTCCTTCTTCCCTCCCCATTTCCTCACCACCACCGATTTTTGCACTGCAATTTTCATCCCTCCTCTTTCCCCGCTCCCCTCCTCCCCTTCTTCCTCTTCCAACTCCCCTTCCATAAGCAACCACTCCAAACACTGCATAATCTCCCTCCACTCCTCCTCATCCCTCCATTCTCCTTCCCCTCTCCCCCCATCCCCTACCTCTTCCCTTCCACCCATCCGCCCACCCTCCTCCTCACCACCCACCCCCCTCCTCCCTCCCTTCGTAGTCACCACTATAAGCTCACTCACTATATGCGACAGTAACGCAGCTGGTAACTCTCTTATATGATCCAAAACCTCCCAAACTGCTTCTTCTAACCCTTCCAAATCTTCTTCTCTTTCCCCTCTCCCTCCTACCCCCGTTCGTACCCCCCTTTCCTCACCCACACCGCCCGGAACACCCTTATCCGCTTTATAAGCAGAATTCACAACTCTCCTAAGCTGCCTCAGCAGCAGAGCAGCGAAATCGCCCATGGACCGCTCTGCACACCTCCGCAGCTCTCTCAACTGCGCCTTCCTCTGCCTGGCCGGGTGCTGCATGTGTTTCCCCACCAGAATCGAATCATCAGGCTCAGATGCTGCTGCGAACGCCAACGTCGCAGCAGCAGCGGCAGCAGCCGAATCAGCAGCAGCAGAATTAGCAGGATCAGCAGCAGCACCAGCAGCAGCACCAGCAGGTGCGCCAGCAGCAGCAGCGCCAGCAGCAGCAGGTTTGGGGCTGGCAGGAAAGTGTCGCCTAGTATTGGCACTGGAATTAGCATTACCACGGGCAGCAGTGGTGGCAGTGAGTCGTCTGAAGGAGGAGAACTTGCCCTCTGCATCCTCGCTGCTCGCTGCTAGCATGGCCGCCTGCCTGCTCCAATAGTTGCTCACCAGCCAGCCCAGAGCCTGGGGAAAGACAAGGGAATGGGACAAGGAAGCGGGGGAAGGGGAGAGGGGGGGGACGGGCAGCAGAGGAGGCAGTGAGTCGTCTGAAGGAGGAAAACTTTCCCTTTGCTTCCTCGCTGCCTGCTGCTAGCATGGTCGCCTGCCTGCTCCAATAGTTGCTCACTAACCAGCCCAGAGCCTGGGTGGAGACGGGAGATGGGCCAAGGAAGCGGGGGAAGGTTCATGGTTTGTATTTAGGCAGCTTCATCTGTCCCTTCCCGCTGCAGAGAATTCTCAAAAACAATCAACGGGACAGCTTCATCTGTCCCTTCCGTCCTTTAAGACGTCTCAAAAGTTGTCTCCGAGAACTATGTGCACCCTCCCTCTCACCTGAGTGACTGCCACTCGCAGCACCAGAAGCTGCAGCAGGAGAACGACCCTTTTTTTTCCTCCCCTCCCTACCTCCCTCTCTCCCTGTCCTCCCTCCCTCTCCTCCTGCCTCCCACCCCTACTCCTGCACTGACTCTCTTACTTCCTCTCTCACATCTCATCTCAACCACCCTCCACATTCCCCCCCCCTTCTCCTTCTCACCTGAGTGACTGCCAGTCGCAGCACCGGCAGCTGCAGTAGTCGATTGTGGGCCAGGGCTGGTGAGGGGAACGGGGACGGGGGAACGGGAGTGGGAAGTGGAATGGTGGATGGAGTAAGCATGGAGAAATTGCTAAGCATACTATGCGGAGTTTGGACAGGCGCAGAACTGGCAGCTGCAGCAGGCGATTGTGGGCCAGGGCTGGGGACGGGAAGGAGTAAGGGGAGGGAAAGGGGGAGCGGGAGGGTAATGAGAAGGGGAATGGGGAGGGGGATTCGAAGGAAAGGAAGGATGGTATGAGCAGTTTCAGCGCAGATGTCACAGTGTAACGGAGCCCTGCCCATTGTAGGTTGAATTTGAGAGTTCCCAGAATCAATCCACTGGGCTACAGTAACTGTAAGGCTGCACCACAGATGTCACAGTGTAACGGAGTTTTGCCCCCTACAGAGACCAGACCAGCCTTACAGTGCAGTGCCTCGCGTTTCACCAGCGGTGCTTTGAGTCGAATCAAAGAAGTCTTACCCAGCGGATGCATCACAAGTCCACTCATCACACTGAAAATTTTCATCAAACGACCCACTAATACTGTGCCAGCCTTACAGTGCCTGACGTCCACCAGCAGTCTTGGGATGCCCATGTGAGCCGCCACCCTCACCACCGACCGACCCAGGGCTGGGTTGCTGTTATACACTGTAACAGAGTGATACCCTACTGAACCACACTGCACCGTGCCACATTCCATCGTTGCTTACAGTGCCTGACGTCCACCAGCAGTCGAGGGATGCCCACGTGAGCCGCCACCCTCACCACCGACCGACCCAGTGCTGGGTTGCGGTTGTCACACAGACCACTCACAAACCTACACGTGGCAGGGCATGCAAGAAGTATGGGAAGTACAAAACAAGCCTATTAAAAAGAAAAAATTGAAGGAAAGATGGCTCACGACCCTCACGACCCCTCACGACCCCTCACGACTGAATGACCAGACGAACACAGCGGGGCATGACAGGCTGGCGAAGCAGGAGCCTCGAACAACGCTCTTCAATATATAAACCCCGTGTAGTGAGTCGAGTTTAAGTTGCCTCAATAATCGCAGCTGGCTGGGTGACCGAATGACCAGATCAACACAATGGGGCATGCACCGCACAGAACCCCTCAGCAACCCCATCACGTGCAAACGGCTAGACGTGGGCAAGGCAAGTGTGTGACAAGGCACATGGCACAGCATGTCAGTTGGGCCAAGCCTAGAGATGATTGGCTGACTGACCTGATAATCACAGCGGCATATGATTGGCGGAGCACGAATGGAGGGAGAGGCAGCACCGCGTTGGGGGGCCTGAAAGAAGGAGGGAAATGGAAGGGATGAATGTCAAGACCCATCCGTGCCATGTGGAAGGAAGGGAAGAATCTAGAGATGGGTTCTAGACCCGAAACCCATGTGCAGGTGGTATGGTATGGTATGGTATGGTATGGTATGGTATGGTATGGTATGGTATGGTATGGTATGGTATGGTATGGTATGGTATGGTATGGTATGGTATGGTATGGTATGGTATGGTGGTGGGAGTGGAAAGAGTGGGGCCACCTGGAAAGCCAGCACGTAAGCGCATTGCATTCCAGTGAGTATCCCAACTTTGTTCTCCGTTCAATGCCTTACTCAACGGCTCTAGAACGTAAACCACCTCACTCCGCTGCATCACTTATCATAAACTTTCTGGACACGCCCTGAGCATAGCCCCTCCCACAGCACCTATTCCAGACCTACGTCAACCGGAGGTTCGGCTCCGAGTCTGCATCCCCGAACCTGCACCCCAAACCTGCACTGCACCCCCGAACCTACCAGAGGTCCGGGTCCTGCAGCTGCACGGCGAGCATGCCAGCTGTCACGTCCACAGAGGCCGGAACCCGGCCCCTGATCTGCCAAGCTGCCACCTGGCAGGGCAGGCCGAAGGGTGGAGAGAATCCCAAGAAGGGTGTGGTGTGGAGGGGAGGGGGGGGGGGCGGAGCGGAGGGGTGTGGAGGGGAGAGGAGGGGGAGGGGGGTAGGAGGGGGAGGGGTGGGGAGAAGGAACAGGGTTCGGGATTTCGACATTTGAGTCGTCTTTGGGACTTGGGACAATCTCAAGGTTGGGTGCGCGGAGCGGCAAGAGGGGTTCAGGGTTTAGCGGCTTGAGATTTATCAATCCTGACATACAGAAATGAGGAGATAACCTCAAGGGTGGGATGCAGGTAGGGAACGGGGTTTGGAGTTTGGGAGAGAAGTCTCAGCACGCAGTCCCTCCACGCATCCTATATTTTTCAAAGACACCCACAGAACGCTATGCCGGTCGATGCTATAACGGGCGCCTTACAATAGCGGTGACGACCCAAGCTTACAGAATGCGATAACGGATAGCGGGTCCGTTATCGCGTATGACATGGATAACGGATCCGAAGGATATGGGCTCGTGAGTAGCCTTCACCGCCTCTCACTCCTTGCGGGATGTCCACGAAACGCAATCAATGAGTAATGTTACTACGGGGGAGGACATCAGAGGAATAACGGTACACCTACCCGGTCGATCCCGAAGGATATAGATTCGCGCGTAGCGGCGGGCCCCAGCAGGCTCGACCGAACCGCCTCCCACTCCTCCCACGAGGCCCATGGCACGTGCCGGAGAGCGAGAGACATAAATTTACCCTGTAACAAATGCTGCTGTGACGGATGCCGCTGCGGTAAATTTGACCCAGGATCAGGGCTTCTAACTTTCTACTAGTGGTGGCCTGGCGTCTAACATTGGATGTTCGATCACGGTGCTCCTCACGGCAGTTCGACTACTGAATGGCTTTTGAGGCGGCTCAAAGTGGCCTGGCTTTTGAGGCGGCTCAAAGTGGCCTGGCGTCTACTTCAGATGTTCGATCACGGTGCTTCTCACAGCAATTTGACTACTATTGCTCTATTTTCTCTATTCTACACCTAGTGCTTCATGAAGGAGGACCTAGTTGATTCCTAACCTCTTCAGGGACTGCGAGCGGGAGAAGGTAACTAGCCCCTGTCGAGCGAAAGAGTCCGGGTTTTAGGAGACCCATGGGAATGGCGAGGGGGTTTGAGAAGGGAGCGATCAGTATGTAGTCAATATCGAGGACAAAAGGGCAGGTTGGGCTCGAGCGGACTTTGTTCATCAATGTAAAGGCAGGTAAATAGCGGTTTGAAACGGTACTATTTCACCCAGGAAGGCAGCTGTTTACAAAAAAAATGGTGGATGCTTCGGGAGGCGATGCATTATTGAAATGTACCAATAGAATAATAAAAAAAATGATAGGATAGGACTTGCAAAAAGATCATACATATTAGAGAGGGGCCTTAAATGCAAGTCTTGTGTCGCAGACAGAGACAACAGTCCCATTAGATGCTCTAACATCACTCATATGTAGAAATTGTCAAAATATATTTATATTATAATGTAACTGCATGTAACTTAGCTAGTGTAGTATCATTTAGGTTTCTATTGTTGGTGGTATACCCCTCTTGACCACCATCCCTACCACTATATCTTGTATTTCACTCAAAGTACAACCCCTTCTTTGCTTGGCCAACACTCTCTCCCACGAAACCCTAAGGGTACATTCCGCTCTGGACATGTCCCAATCGGGTGTACCGCTCCGAACCGAACTAAACCAGAGAAGCGAACATTTTGGAACTAGGGTGTAATTCGGTGTAACAGGATGCAGTGCGGTAGAATTGATTGGGACACATCGATTGGGACGCTGTCCGCAGCGGAATATACCCTAAGGCTCTCTCTAGCTATCATTCTGATAGAAATACCTACCGTAAAACAACTGCAATACACACTGAACAGCAGCTCCAGGTGGATTAGGGAAGCCTTGACTGAAACGGAGCTAAAACAGGTAATGCTGTACACTAACTTTCCATGCAACAGAATCACTGCATAGACTTGCTTCCTCCAGGCAGCCAATCCAAAGCTAATAACCACTCCAGGAGGGGCCATCATCCATAGACACCCGGATAAAGAGGACTAGAGTGCCGCTGAGAACAATAAAGGCCGCATTGGAGATGCTTCCTCCTAGCAACAGCACATTGTAACCAACCAACCTAATAGCCACTCCAGGATGGGCCATCATCCATAGACACTCGGATAAAGAGGACTAGAGTGCCGCTGAGCACAATGAAGGCCGCAAGGGTGAAGAGCGTGGCTCCAAGGGTTATGAGGTGACCGTGGTGCAGGATGAATGGAATGGCAACACTGCCAATCTGGAGATTTGGGTTTCGGGTTGGAGATTTTGGGGAGGAACGAGGTAAGGGACACACAGTAAGAGGGTGGCCCCGAGGGTGATGAGTTGACTGTGGTGGAGGATGAAGGGAATAGCAACACTGCCGATCTAGGGGTGTTTCAGGGGGGGGGTAGGGGGGAAAGCGGAGCAAGGGATAAGAGTAGAACGTAGAGTTATGAGGTGGCCGTGGTGCAGGATGAAGGGAATGGCAACAGTGCCAATATGAGGGATTACGGTTCATGGCCAGGGAGAGAGACACAAGTGGCAAGAGTGAAAAGCATGGCTCCGAGAATCATGAGGTGGCCGTGGTGCAGGATGAAGGGCAAAAGCTGCCAGTCCGAGGCAGCCAGGGATGCGGATTTGAACCTTTGGGGAGAAGGGAGCAATTGTGAAAAGCATGGCTCTGAAAGCTAGGTGGCCGTACGAAGAAGGGAATGCTCAGGCTGCCAGCCTGAGGAGTCTATGGTTCATCGCTGAGGAGGCCATGTTCAAGCGTAGTTATTGGGGAGAGATGAAGCAAGGGGAAGCGTGGGCAGCATGGCTCTGTGGATACTCACTCAGCAGAGAAACAAGAGGGCAAAATTGGAAGAGAATTTTCGAAAGAATCAAGGAGAAGTAAGGAGGATAAGCAGGAAGAGTGAGGAACTTGGCTGCTTGCATGTCACAACAGTAAGTAGCAGAACAGAAACAAGACGGCCGGGGGCAGAATAAGGGGAGACAACGCGATGGGGGACGTACCGAAGAGAAGCCGGTGAGGAACTTGGCTGCATCTTGCCACCTGGTGGAGAGAGATGGAATGCGGTCAACAGGGGTGGCGTGGAGGATGGGGAGGACGGAAGAGGAAGAAGGGTGAATCGTGGAGGCAGAGGCGAAAGAGATATAAGGGGAGAGAAGTCATTACAAATCACCCAGCATATACGCACACACCACAATCACATGCACCACAGTCACACTCTCTTGTTCTCCTGTTCAAATGTAAGTAAAAAAAAAAAAAAAAAAAAAAAAAAAAAAAAAAAAAAAAAAAAAAAAAAAAAAGAGCATGCGACGGCAGATATTTACACAAACGAGCACACACACACTACAGAACCACTCAGCACAATCACACTCGTTAGAGTCCCACTCACTCATTATCTGTGCCCATGAGAAAAAAGTCGGAGGAGTCACCAGTAGAAAAGAACAGGCATGGCATGGGCAGTATCAGGTACATGAGCGCTGGGGGGGGTGTTGAGGGGTGGAGAGGAGTGGAGAGGGGTGTTGTGGGTATGTGGAAAGGCAATAGAGGCCTGGCACGCGTGGAGCAGAAGAGGCATGGCATGGGCAGTATCAGATACACGAGCGCTGGGGGGGCTGCAAAGGGGTGGAGATGGGTGCTGCGTGTTTGTGGCACGGCCAGGCCAGGGAGGCACGGCATGAGAAAGAAGTCGAACGAGTCACCAGTGGAAAAGAAGAGGCAGGGCATGGGCAGAATCAGGTACATGAGCGCTGGGGTGAACAGGGGTGGAGAGGGTTTCTGCGTGTTTGTTGCAATAGAGGCATGGCATGGGCAGAATCAGGTACATGAGAGCTGATGATTCATGGGGGCATGGTGGGGGAGAGGAGGTAGGAAGCAGAGAGGCAGAAATGAAGGGCTCTAGAAGGGGAGTGAGGGTGCGTTTTTGGACTGAAAAGAAGCATGGCATGGGCAGTATCAGATACACCAGAGCTGGGAGAAGAGCTGTATGGGCAAGGGGTGTGGGGGGATGAGGGGGGTTGGGGTTCAGTACAGAAGTGGCAGTGGCACTCAGGCACTCGAGAGCTGGGAGGGAGGGAAGACGTATGATGCGGGATTTGGGGGAAAAGACTTTGGGGAAAAGACTTTGCATTGACCTAGAAAGCGGCACCGCATCCACAGTATCAGGTACGGGGGTGTACAGGGGAGCAGGGAGCGGTGTTGCTGGTTCATGACAAACGAGGCATGGCATGGCATGTGTAGTGTCAGGTCAGGTAAATGAGAGCTGGCAAGATGTTGGGGAGGGAGATCGTGGGGTAAGGGGAAGGGGCCATGAAGACAGGGGGAATGAAGGGGGAATTTCAGTGATTAGGGATTGTACCCGAAAGCTTAGGGATTGTACCTGAAAGCATTGGAATTGTACCTGAAAGCATTGGCCACCAATTGTTGTAGAGAACACATCCCAGCAGCTGCAAACCAATGCCCACTGAGAAGAGAAACGCCAAGCCTGCGAGTCTGAGAGGAGCGAGCATATAGAGAGTATAGGGAACCAACAGTCAGTTTGAGTTTGCGGGATGTGCCTACCGAGAAGAAAAACGCCAAGCCTGCGAGTCTGAGGGGAGAAAAGAAGAGACAGGGGAGAGAGAGGCAATAGGAAAGAGCAGAGCTAGAATCTCAGAAGCAAGAATGAGAGGAAGTTCACATGCAAGAGGAGGACAGCAAGAAAGCTAGCGCTCCCAGACACAAGGGTTATCAGTTCATATGTGAAGTGATGCAAGCAAACGGAACAGGAGAGAATGGGGAAAGGGAGGGAGAAGGGACAGGAAAGCAGGAAAGCGAGTGAAGGGAGATGGAATGGAACTCACGCTGAGAAGAGACCGGGAGATGGCGGCAGCAGGCATGGTCAGAGGCAGGGGGAACGCGTGGAGGCAATGGGAACGCGTGGAGGTAGTGGGAACGCGTGGGGGCAGTGAGGAAGTGTGGCAGCAGTGGGAAAGTGTGGGGGCAGGAGAAAAGAGGGAGACGGAGATAGTACGGAGGGAGGAAAGAGTGAGGCGGGAGGAAGGAGATGCACAGACGCAGGGGAAATAAGAAGAAATTGTTGAAGCGGACGGATGGTGATGTCCTAGGCAGGTGGCACGGGTATGAGCGAGGGGGGGGGGGGAAGGAGTGCATGGTGTTTCTGAAGCGCCTTAAAAAAGAAAGAAAGAAAAAAGGATGGATATTGGTGAGGTGACAGGTGGGCAAGTGGCATGGGTATGAGAGAGGGAGGGGTATGGTGGGCTGAAATGGGGAGGAAGTTATGCGAGTAAAGGGAACGGATAGTTACTAAGTTGACAAGTGGCATGGGTAAAGGGAAAAAGGACACGGTGTTTCTGAGGAGGCTCAACAGAAAGGGACGGATGATGACGAGGTGGACAGGTGGACCGTGGACACGTGAGAAAAGGTGGCATGGGTATGAGCGAGGGAAAAAAATGGTGGCGAGTTGGTAAACAGTCATGCAGGGAAGTTAAGGAATTGTTTACGGTGAACAAATTTCATGTCGATACTGCCTGGAGTGCTTCAAGATAAGGCAAGAGATTACAAAAATTAGGAGATGTAGGAAGCGTCCCATGGTGACTAATGAAATTTAAAACGCCTTACCGCCCGTCGTCACGGCCATTTGGCCCGCTTGTAGCGAATCTCGCAGAGAATAACGGCAAACCGAAACTTCTGGGTCGAAACAAATTACAGTAAGCTGAACTTTCCACTTCCAGGCGAGAGGAGGGAAGACACCAAGGATCTCCAGAAAAGTTAACTGGACTTTCCTTTTGGAAAGCTTGATACTAAAACACGGAAACGAGGAACGGCCGTCGTCTGAGCCGACTCGAAAGGTGATAGGTTACGAAACAAACCAGGGAAAATACAAGCCTAGAATCTACGAAACGCGGAAAGGCTATCGCGAACGTGCAAAACCATGAAGGACGTATTTAACGAAGGTTGTGGACGTATTGCACGAAATAGCTATGGCGCGTCTTGTGGTCGCTGAATTGCTGACACATATGGCTGCTACTACTGCTGATATCTTCATCGCTATATGAGCTACTGCTGCGCTTGTAGGGAAGATGGTTACGGCAGCACTGTCGTACGACTCATCGTCGATCTCGCGCAGCTGAGATTGTCACGCAAACACACACCTGCCAGTACACGAAAACAGCGCGACGAAGTTTTGCGAAGCCTTGAAAACAAACAGTAGTAGATAATAGTTCAAAATAATAGTCTACTAGACATTACATTCACAGTAGCACTACAATAATGTCACTAAAAATATAACACAGCATGGAGCAAACATTGGCACATCTAAAACCCCCTCCGCAAGGCAACTCTAAGAAAAACTGGCCTGTCCCTCCTACTGTTGTTTACACTCAGGAGGTTGCTCCCCTGCTGCCCCAGCTGCCCCTGCTGCCTTCATCCCCTTCGTCCCTGCTTTCTGCCACAGTGGTCACACACAAAAACGCGACATAAATGACGACACAAGAACCGAAGTACAAAAAAGGCAAAAACAGAAACAACACAGGAAATGTAACAACTCTTTAAGTAAACTGACATACGGTATCCAAAAACTATCTGCAAAGACGTGCTCTTCTAAAAATCACAACTCAAAACGCACCCTTCCGCGAGCAGGCCTCGGGTGGTCGTCCTCGTCATCATCATCCTCATCCTCGACATCGTCCTCGTCATCCTCGTCATCCTCGTCGTCCTCGTCATCGTCCAAATCCTCCAGGTCAGCAGCCTCTCCAGTGTACCAGGAGACAGCATGTGGAATGATCTTCTCCCTCAGGGTAGACCTGGTGGTGCCAAGGGAAATATGAAATGCAGTCACAACATGAGCACAAGTAAGGAGAAAGGCATGCCACAGGCTGTCTCCTCAAAGCAGCCTCCCCAGTGTACCAGGACACGGCGTGCGGAATGATCTTCTCCCTCAGTGTAGACCTGGTGTTGCAAGAAAGGGGGAATATGCAAACACAGAAGTGTACTCCCAATGTGAGGATAAGCAAGGAACCTCGAAGAGGCCTCCCCAGTGTACCAGGAGGACGCAGCATGTGTAATGAATGACCTTCTTCCTCAGGGTAGACCTGGTGTTACGGAAGCATCAAAGATGGGGAGGTTCAGAGAAAGACATAAAATTCATCCCAACACAGCTTCACAATCGAATCCCAACTTGCTAGAAGATAAAATTCATTACCGCATATATTAATAAAACACTACCGCATATATTAATATATTTATAAGACAAGAAATAAACTCACCCCACATCGTAGTCCTGCTCCATCATCTCCTGAAGCTCCTCCGCCTGCCATTGGTGGAAGAAAGGGAGGCAGCACAGAGAGAGACAGCCAATACGACAAGATAAGGGAGAAAAGCAAGAGGCTAGGCAGCAGGCACACCCCACATCACCCCACATTGCAGACCTGCCCTGCTCCCATCACCTTCTGGAGCTCCTCCGCCTGCCATTGGTGGAAGAAAGGGACGGGGAAGAGCGGGGAGGAGTGGGGAGAAGGAGAGAGTGAGAAAAGGAGGGGTGGGGCCGGGGATGCAGTGCATGAAGGGGCGCGGGGGAAGGAAAGGTGAAGGGGGGGGAAGAGAAAGGTGAAGGGGATAGGGGAGAGGGGAGAGGGGAGAGGGGAGAGGGGAGAGGGGAAAAAGAAGGGCAAGGGGGCCCTGTGACTCGCCTCCTCCTCGTCCAGTTCCTCATCCAGTTCCTCGTCCTCGGTGGGAACAGCCGGCGGGCTGAAGAAGTACAAGCAAGCAGACGAGAAATGCACGCAGGGAAGCGCGAGGATTCCTTCTCACCTCCTCCTCGTCCAGCTCTTCATCCTCGGTGGGAACAGCCGGCGGGCTGAAGAAATTGAAGAAGCACAAGCAAGCAGACGAAAAATGCACGCAGGGAAGCAAGGAGGATTCCCTCTCACCTCCTCCTCGTCTAGCTCCTCGTCCTCGGTGGGTACGGCGAAGGGCTGAAAATTTTGAAGAAGCTCTCGCAGGGCTCTATCTTGGTCATGGGCTTGCTGCTCTTGGCTTGGTGCTAGATCAGGCCCTTTTAAGCCACAAATTAAGGAAAAACCAACGGGAAGAAACAGGGCCACCGGGAGGCGGGGGAGAAAGAGGGTGGGGGGGGAAGGGAAGAAGGGCTGTGACTCACCTCCTCCTCATCCAGCTCCTCGTCCTCAGTGGGCACGGCAGGCGGGCTGAAGAAGTTGAAGAAGCTCTCGCAGGGCTCAGTTTTGGTGATGGGCTTGCTGCTCTTGGCGCCCTTCTTGGGCTTCTTCTTCATTATCTTCTGCGTCAGGTTCTTGCCCGCGTTCCACTCGATCTCAGTCCTGCGTTGGGTTAAGGGGTAAGGGATGGAGAGCAGAGGAGGAGGTAGGCATGACAGGTTGAAATATTCCCTTCGTCGGCTTCTTCTTCATGATCTTCTGCGTCAGGTTCTTGCCCGCGTTCCACTCAATCTCCGTGCTGATGGGACAGAGAGCAGGTGACAGGGGATGGGGGAGAGGGGGGGAAGGCAACAGGGAAAGCCTGTAAGGGTGAAGGGTGTCACACGGGTCTGGAAAGCCTTCTTCTTCGCGGCCTTCTTGGGCTTCTTCTTCATGATCTTCTGCGTCAGGTTCTTGCCCGTGTTCCACTCAATCTCCGTGCTGCATTGCATTGAATGAGCAACAGAGAGCAGGGGAGTTGCAACATGAAAAAGGACAGTGAGTGAGAGAAACCCCTTCTTGGGCTTCTTCTTCATGATCTTCTGCGTCAGGTTCTTGCCCGCGTTCCACTCAATCTCCGTGCTGATGGGACAGAAGGGACAAAGAGAGAGGAGGGGCTGAGTAGTTAGAAAAAAGGCCCCACGCCCCGAACAAAAAAACAAACAAACAAACAAACAAAAAGACGCAAGAAATGTGGAAGGGAAAGGACGAGCATGCTCTTCACATATCCGGGGCGGACAAAGGCAGGCAGAAACAGCACACACGAGAACAACACGAGAAGAGAAGAGAAGAGAAGCAACTCACCCCTCGGCCTTCTCAAGAATGGGCTCCTCCTCGTCAATCATGAAGTATGACTTGGTGAGCTGGAATGGTGAGGGGTTGGAAGGGGTGGTGAGGGGTTGGAGGGAGTGGGGCAAGGGGAAGAGGAAGTGCAGGGAGGAGTGAGGATTGAAGCATGAAGAAAGGTAAAGCAGGGTAAAGTATGACTTGGTGAGCTGAACGAGTGATGAGGGGTGGTTGAGAGTGGGGATGAGGGGGAGGGAGGGATGGTGGAGTGGGGGGGGGTGAGAATGGGGGAAGGAAGGAGAGGTGCACAAAACACAGTGGACTGCTCCTCGTTTCCCATGGAGGAGTGCGGGGAAGTGGGCCTGAGAGAAGGAAGAGGGGCAAGCAACAAATCGGCTCCTCCTCGTGAGTAATGAAGTATGTTTTGGTGAGCTGACGGGATAGTGGGGATGGGGCCGGGGAAAGGGGAAGTGAGGTTAAGAGAGGGGCAAGGAAACAGATTGGCTTCTCCTCCTGGAGTGTAGAGTAGGCTTGGTGAGCTGAGCGAGTGGTGGGGAGTGGTTTGGAGTGGTCGGAGTGGATAGAGGTGTGGAGAAATGGGGGTTGGGGGAAAGTGGGCGGGGAAGTTGGGGAAGGCAGTGCGAGGATTAGGAGGAAGAAGAGGGGCAAGAAAATTATTGCCTGATCCTTGTTGATCATGAAGTACAGGGGAAAGGAAAACAAATGTCAGGTGTTTTCAAAGTAAAAAGCCGGCCCAGCATGGGTGGGTGGTAAGCAGTGAAAGTACCATTTCGTTCTTGAAGTAGGGATCGAGCGTGAAATGACTTTTGAGTCTGACTCAAAAGCCGGCCCAGTATGGGCGGGTGGTGACCAGTATGGGCGGGTGGGTGGTGACCAGTGAATGAACGTACCACTTCATTCTTGAAGTAGGGGTTGGGCGTGAAATGGAACTCCAGCTTAAAGCCCTGGAGTGGTGGATATGAGACAGCAGCGCAGAATTTACAAAAATTAGATAAGACCGAATGGAGACAATTGGATTGAATTAGCATCAACCAAACCCCTCTAAATCCCTGGGACCCAAAGCCACAAACCCTGAACCCTTGAGCAAGTCATTACTCTCCGCACAGACCCTGAGCTCCTCCCCCAGTGGTGACCATCTAACATCTTCAATGTACTCGAGTGAATGCTCGGCCCTTGCCGGCTAACATCTTCGATGACCTTCGTAAGTACCCCCCCTCCCCCGAGCTCCCCCCCCCAGTGGTGACCATCTAACATCTTCAATGTACTCGAGTGCGGGCTCGTCCCTTGCCACCTGCCGTCTAATCTAAGGGGTTTCAATAACTTGAACCTTTAAACCCATTACCATGCAAAACGTGACCTTTGTACCCCCCCCCCCCCCCCCCCTCCCCGGCACTCACCTTGAGGTCCTCCCCCAGTTGCGACCACCGGATGTCCTTGAGATGCTTCAGTGCAGGCTCGTCCCTTGCTGTGATCTGACGTCCCAGTAAACACGTGGGCAGATAAACCGGTGGCACAAAAAAAGAAGAAAACCGAAACAAACCAAGTACAGCCAAGGAAAGAGTACCGAAACAGGTCCGGAAAAATAGGATATTATAAGCTAGAAACAAACGAAATCGATGCTAAAAAAAAAAAAAGAATTAGAAAGAGAATGTTTCAAGGCCGTAAATTTGAAGTGTTCTCCCTAGTGTTTGTATAGCTGGGTCCCTCACCTGCTCTGCCAAAATCTCGTTATTCTTCATGGCAGTGAGCCAGAATTCAGGCACACCTGAATGCAACCAAGGGGAAGGGGGGATGTGGGGAGGGGTGAACAGCACACATAAGGAACCAAAGGAAGGGAGAGGGAAGGGAGAGCAAGGGGAGAACTTTGAGGTGCCTCACAAACCATCGTCATGGCGGTAAGCCAGGAATTCAAGCACCCCACCCCCAAATAACAAACCGCACTGCCTTCCTTCCCCAACGCACACATTCCATAGATTTACCCCACTGAACAGCACTTAAACCCAACTAGATCATCTCCACCCCTCTGCTCCAGTGTGGCAGCTGGAGTCTCACTCTCAACTGCCCCTTCCAACCTCAACCGTTTCCGCCCCAACGCACTCCACATCAACCCACTGCACCGCAGTTCATCGCAACTCACCCTTCTCAACCTCGGCTCCGGCCTCAGCAGCAGGGGGCTCAGCGCCTTCGGGCTCCTTGTCTCCTGCCACAATCTCAGAGCGCTGAAGGTATGGGGTGAGGGGTTAACGCACGTAAGGAGTTACAGAGGGTTAGGGGTTACATATGACTTGTGGCTTAGAGCTTCTTCTAGTAAATTGCCTTAAGAACTGCCTTCTAAGCCACCTCAAAACGACACGCGTTATGAAGTAAAAACTCACCTGGTTGTAGAGCAGCTAGGGCTTCTGATACTTGGCCTCGAGAGCCGCCTTATAAGGCATGTCAAGACTATACGCGTTATAGAATAGACCCCCACCTGGTTATAGAGTGGCTCGTACAGCTTCTGATACTTGGCCTCGAGAGCCGCCTTACAAGGCATGTCAAGACTATACGCGTTATAGAATAGATCCCCACCTGGTTATAGAGTGGCTCGTACAGCTTCTGGTGCCTCAAGAGCCGCCTTATAAGGCATGTCAGGACTATACGCTTTATAGAATAGATCCTCACCTGGTTATAGAGCGGCTCGTACAACTTCTGGTACTTGGCCTCAAGAGCCGCCTTCTCCTCCAGAAACTTCTCCTTGAGCTCGTCGTGCGACTTCTGCACCCAGCACAGGAACGCAAGGGGAAAACGGGGGAACGGGCGAACGGGAGAGGCGATGAGGGACAAGGAGGAGCACTTTGAGAGACTTCCACACATCCTGGCTCTGCCTTCCCCTCTGTAAAGTTATCCTCGAGCTCGTCATGTTATTTCTGCACTCAGCACAGAAAGGGGGGACTGCGGGGGAGGGGAAGGAGAACTTGGGATATGTCGGGGGGACAGCGGGGGAGGGAAAGGAGCACTTGGGATATGTCTCACATCACGGGTATGTCTCCATGCACTTGGTTCAAAAAAATATTAAAAGCGGCGCTTAAGAATTCTCAGGAGCGACGGTTTTTTCTCCTTCGCGCTTCGCCGTCATGCACCTCTCTTTGTGCACGGAGAGACAACATGGCGAAGAAGGGGGTTGGGGTTCTGCAGGGTTTGAAGACGAAACTTTAAAGAAGAAACAACGTCAGCAACCGAGAGCAATCTTTTCCTCTAAAGGCCGCTCGTTACGCTCATCGTGAAAATCGCCTTCTATTTCCGTTCTGCCTTGCGAGGAGCTTCAGAAGCCATCCGTCCTTTAAGATTGCAGATCCTAATTGCAAAACCTCGCGTAAATGCTGAACGCGGATTCCGAACCTACGGCGTGGATGTATGGATCCCATGCTGACTTCTCAGCGAGCAGAAGAAAGATAAGCATAAAGACAAGTATTTTCCCCAGTTTACATGAAACACTGTAGGGCACAATGTAACGGCCTAAATGTAATGGACGCATGAGAAATGTTTGTTAAACGGAGGAGCGATCAATTCGGCTGCTCGGATACTCCGCACCTGGATCTCCTGTAGAGCCGTGACACGTGTGCGGACAGCTGGCGAGAGGCCCGCGAGGAAGTTTTGCGTCATGAGGGTATCCAGTTTGTCCTGCCATGGCAATTGTCGAAATTTAGAGAGAAATAAATCACACGCAAAGAATTCAGAGAACAAGATGATAGAGCAGATAAACAGAGCGGGTAGCAATAAGAAGACCGCGTGAAAGAATACATCAGACGGGTGAGACGCGATCATATCTTGCATAATCAACCAGCGACAAACCACTTTCTTGAACCCCTTGCTTATAAACCTTAAGGCCGCTGTTATTGTGATATCATTTGGCATTCCGTACCACTTCTGCATCCTGCGTTAGTTATCGTGCGGTGGTTGCAAGATCGCGTGTTCCTCACTCCAAGTCGATGCTTCTCGTTCCAATTCGTCGATTTCTATTTGTTTTTAACATTCCTCAATGACGCTTGAAGCTGTTGGTGGATAACTCATTTACCTGGATAGCGCTGACCAATCCGGCGCGATCTTCATCGGTTAACCCCGCTCCCCCTGAAAATATAGAAGGTAGACCGCCCGATATGGCGCTTATGTCGCAAAGTTTAGAAGTAGATAGCAGGATACGACAATTATGTCGCAACTACAAGGAGGATCGAAACACCGTGAAAGTGATAGATTCACTCCACAGATACATCCGACGCTAGCAAATCGAGTTCGACGTATCATCCGTAAGCAATCCTAGATCGACGTCGGCATGACGTGTTGCAACGGAAACACGAAGAGATGGAAGGAGGGGAAAAAAAGGGGGGAGAGGGGGGGAGGGAAGATCACCTGAAGGAAGAGCAGCAGCGACATCTGACAGGTCCATCTTCTTCTCGTCTCCGCTCATGATTATGAACGAGTAAAGAACAAAAGGAGGCGCGAGGATTGTGGAATACAAGACAGAAAACCTGGAACCAGGACGGAAGAGAGGCCAAGAATCCCAGATCGCTAATCCTACTGCAGGAAAAAACCAGCAGCAGGGAAAAGTGAAGAGAATTGGAGGCACGGAGTAAATTTGAAGGAATATGTGGTGAGGAAAACTTTCAGCTGAGTGTTTGCTGACCGTTTAGTGCGGTTCCGAAGGTTTCCACACGGTATGGTTGGCTCCTTCCCCAAACCGCTTTGGACCGTCACGCAAGCAACTAAACCGTGGTCTCGTTACGGGATGGAGATTCCCTTTCCCCACACCTAGCGGTGGCTGTGGGTTCACGTCCAAAGGTTGGAATTGTAGGCGTACGGAATGACTCAGTAAGGAATAAATGACTCGGTAGATTTGTACACTTATATGTTCATCAGGCGGACATCTTACCAAGAGTTTCTCGGGATCTGCTCTTCAGGTTCTTTCAGCCATACAATCTCAAGGCTTCATTATCTGTTATCCTGACATCAGTCCACTGTGCTTTCGAAGAGCTCTCACAGTGAGGTCGTGGTTGGCTACTCTTATTTCATGGCGTTATCCAGGCTACGGACAAGCATCCTTTGGTTATGTCAGCGACAACTCATCACCTGCACCAGGAATATTGGATTGATGAAGGAACAACGCAGCTATATTATACTAGGCTCAATTGTCCAGCAATTCAGGCATTTTCGGCCTTTGCAAGTTTTAAGTTGCTATATATCACTCATTATAGCACTATGCCGCGTGCGCCTCCAAATGAACGAGCTCCTCTGGTGCCGAAGCGCTCTGATGACACTACCGCTGCTTCGATGCCTGAGGACAAGGGAAAGCAAGTGGAGGATAATGAGCCGGTCACTCCTATAGCAGGGAGCTCGGGTCTATCACTGGAGGAAAAGCTTGCTGCACTTACCGTACCTCCGCACATGACTGTGACAATGATGGCGAGTTCATCAACAGCAAGGCGTGACAGAAAGGATGAACAGGACTCTGCTGAACACCATGTGCAAGGTGCTACGTGGCATGCGGCTACCCAACCACCAGTGGCCCGAGGCAATGGACCATGCTGTGCTGCTGCACAACTTGCTCTCGTCATCATCGCTCCCGAACAACGCATCACCGCATCTGCTGTGGACAGGAAAACCGGGGAGCACAAAAATGTTACGAGTGTTCAGTTGCATGGTACAGTACCGACCCCCAACTGCACGAGCCGGCCGATTCTCCCAACGCGCACAGTGGGGACTACACATGGGCATCGAAAAACAGTACAACGTGTGGAAGATTTTCGACTTCCACTCGAAGGAAACAGTAGCAGCACGTGATAAGATTTTCTACGAACAACTCACTCTCTCAACGTACCTGGACAACTTGGAAGCAGAACGAGACCCCATGGGCAGATTCCGTGGCAACTGAGCCTTCGCTTCGGCAGCAGATGAGGCTGACTGGGATGAGCAAAACGTGGACGGAGCATCAGAAGAAGTCGGACCTCACCTCTTCCCTACTGTTCGATCGACATCCCGATGGATGACGACAATCCTCGCGAAAGCATCAACGCCGAAGTCTACTACGACTTCGCCAACAATGGTTAAGTTACACCCCAACCGGTTGACACCAACATCTCCGAATGCATAGGCCCCAACTTCTTACCTGATCCAGAAGCGGGAGACGAAGCAGTCTATCCCGAGGACCCAAATCTCCCCCGACTCTTACAAAGTGGTCTACAGATACTCGGCCTCGTCACCGCCGTCCACGGAGCATCGCCACCAAAAAAGCCTACTACGGTTCAGCAGGCTCTGGGGGGGGAGCACAGGGAAAAATGGCGCGAAGCCATAGACACAGAATTAAAGGCGGTAGAAGACAGAAACATTTGGAAGATAGTGCCAATCGGAGTGCCACGCAACAAAACCGTGCTCACGGGAAAGTGGGTATCCCTCGTGAAGACGAAAGCAGACGGAACAATAGACAAGTTCAAAGCACGATGGGTCGTGCGCGGCTTCGTCCAAGAACACGGATGAGAATTCATCGAGACCTTTGCACCGGTCAGCCGACACACCTCTCTGCGAATCCTTCTCGCGATAGCCGCCATGAAGCGGAAGAAACTTCGCCAAATCGACGTGGCTAACACGTTTCTCTATGCTCCTGTCGTCGAGCAACCACACAGATTTGACACAGACCCTAATCAAGTCTGACAGCTGCTGAAGTCCTTGTACGGCATCAAGCAAGCCCCAAGACTGTGGCGGCAGTACCTACACACTCGATTAATCCGCATCGGCTTTCGTCAACCGCCACACAATCACAAAAGACTGTGGCAGGGAATGTTCCGACTTACAAAAGCCGCCGATTACATCCTGCTCATCGTCTATGTAGACGACTTGCTCTACATAGGCTCCACCGACGGCATCACGACCTGGTTTGAAGGGGAGCTGCAGGGGGACCTCACACTCACCATCTCCACTACCGTAACGCAAACCTTAGGACTCAACATACAAGACGGAGAAAACGCGATCTACCTCAGCGCCGCAAAATACGCCGACACCACCGCAAAACGCTTCGGACTAAATCCAGCCACCTATCAGAATCACTAGGCAAGAATGATGAACTAGCAGAAGTTTGGGTACAAATATGAAACCCTAGTTTGGGGTTGTACCCCATATTGGCTACCCCACTACAGCCTACAAGCATACTATAGTTTAACACACCCCCATAGGCAAAGTGGGGAGAACAAAGGGTCACAAGACCAGTCCAGCAAAGCAAAGCAACGCCCAGGGTGGATCACAACGTCACCACACTCCGAGCACAAGTAAAGGCCACAAGGCCAGTTCACATGCAGTGCTAGATATAGTACAAGACAAGCAACACAGTGATCAAAACCTAGCAAGCAAGCAACAAGATATATATAAAGTACAGTACAAAGAATATCAAGCAGTGAGCAAGTGAGGAAACGTGGACACAAGGCCTAAAGAAGTACAGTGCCGCTGATGATCACTAGGCGGGAGCGCCTTGGTGAAGATATCAGCAGTGTTGGCCTTCGAGTCCACGTACACAAGCCGAAGCTGACCGCGCTGCTGAAGCTCTCGAGCAAGAAAGTAGCGAAGAGCAATGTGCTTCGTCCTGTGCTCCAGTCTGTGCTCTTGACACAAGGCAAGAGCCGCCTTGTTGTCACCGTACAGAACTGGAGGAGAACTAGGCCGCTCTCCCAAGTCAGTCAGCAGGTAGGTGAGCCAGCGTAACTCCTGTGCAGCCATGGCTGTGGCGTAGATCTCAGCCTCACAACTAGAGCCGAGAACAGAGGAAGAGCGGGTGGACCGCCACGAGACAGAACCTGAGCAAAGGCTGAAGGTGTAACCCTATGACGACCGCTGCGTAGCCAGGTCGTCCACCCAAGAGGCGTCCGAGTGACCAGTGAGGACAACTCTATCGCGTCCTCCAAGCACCAGCCCCATGCCTGATGTACTGCACAGGTAACGCAGCACCCTCTTAGCAGCCTCCCAGTGCTCTCGCCTGTGTCTCCCAGGCGCAACGTAACGAGCAAGGATGCTAAGAGGGTACGCGAGGTCAGGTCGCGTGCAAGTCATCAGGTACATGAGGCAGCCTACAAGCTCTGGGTACGGGCCACTCGGCTCTACGGACTCGTCCGAAGGTGGAGCTGAGAGCGAGTGGCTGGTAGCCAGAGGTGTGGCCTGTGGTGAGGAGAACTGGAAGCCGAAGCGCTGAAGGACCTGCTGCACCATGTGTGACTGAGTCAGGGTGATGGTGCGGCGAGCTCTGTCCCGGGTGATCTGCAAGCCAAGGTAGCTACGCAGTTCACCCAGGTCAGTGCAGGTGTGTCTCTTCTGCAGCTCTGACTTCACACGAGCGAGTGCCTCAGTGTCAGCAGTAGCAAAGACCAAGTCGTCGACGTACACGAGAATGTAGAACGGCGGCAGCGACGTGTCTGTGCGCAGAAACAACGACGGGTCAGCAGTAGACGGCGCGAACCCAAGAGCCGCAAGAGTAGTCCTCAGTGTGTCGTGCCACTCACGTGGCGCCTGGCGGAGACCGTAGACTGGCCGGCGGAGACTCCACTGGGTACCAGGGGGAAACGACCCAGTAAAGCCAGGTGGGCGGCGCAGCCAGATCTCCTCGTGTAGGCTGCCCTGCAGGAACGCTGTGCTGAAGTCAAGAGAGTGAAGCTCGTAGTCACGCTGAGCAGCAACGTGCAGCAGAACCCGAAGAGTGGTCATCTTCGGGGTGGGGGAGAAGGTCTGGAAGAAGTCGACCCCCTGACGCTGACTGAAGCCTCTAGCAACGTAACGAGCCTTGAAGACAGGCGGAGAACCTGGCGGCCGCTTCACCCTGAAAATCCACATGCCATCGACGATGTTCGCCCCAGGAGGGGAACCTCGTCGACGTTGGTGCCTGTGGACTTCCAGGATGCCATCTCTGCGTCCATGGCTGTCTGCCACTGAGAGGAGTAGGGACCCGAGATCGCCTCTGCGTAAGTGCGCGGAGTGGGGATGTCTAGTGCATCCGGGTCTCCCTCAGGGGCAAGCAACCAGGCCACGAGATGAGGTACAGCAGCCGCAAGAGAGTCAAAGTCCTCCTGCCTGTCCTCAAGGACGTCCGTGCCAAGAGCACACTCACCCCCGACGGACGGAGGACAGACAGACGCAGACTCTGACTCAGCAACAAGGCTAGCAGCGTAGTCTAGACGACAGGCAGCAGCAAAGTCAACCAACTCAGCGACCAGAGCAGACGCAGCCGAGGACTCAAAGGTAGGGTCAGTGACAACAGTAGCGAGGAGACGCGTGACTGTAGGGTGCTCAGCGCGATACCGGTCAGACTCAGGGTCCGGAACGGCAGGCAAAGAGGACGCAGGAGGAGACGGTAGAGGGACACGCCGAGGAGCAGTAGAGGGACGCAGAGTCATGTAGTGAGTGCCTGGGACAGGA